ATTGATTTGCACCCACAGTGGTGTATCCAGCCTGAGGCTCTGGAGGGGGGGCAGACCAGATGCCCGCCAGGGGCGGAAATTTTTTTGAGGTGCCACGCCCAAAAGTCTTAAAAATCACGCATCTTGATGGCATATTCGCACGCTTTCAATACTTTTATAGGACAAAAAATATATTTTTACCGAAAAATAAGGTAGTGTTCGTATTTGTTAGAAAGATTTTTACAGGTAATGACCAACGTGAAAACAGGGACACTTCGGTCCCTGTTTGGGAATCGGCCCACTGAGCAGTGGACTCAGGTGTTTCTGACTGGTCAACGAAGTTCAATTTTGCTTGGACAGGGAGCTTCAGCCTATGTCCTTCTAATGAGTCCTAACAAGGACGAAACGCGTCAAGGATTGGCACGGGAAGCCTGAGTCCACTGCTCAGTGGGCCGATTCCCAAACAGGGACCGAAGTGTCCCTGTATTCACGTTGGTCATTACCTGTAAAAATCTTTCTAACAATTTCTATTGCCAACGAAAGCTCAGACCAATCAGTGTAGTTCAACGCCGGTAGGGGTATTTGCCCTCGGAGTAGTTGTTTCTGACTGGTCAACGAAGTTCAGTGTTCGTATTTGTTCCGTATTATTAGCCTGCGAGCCGCCACTGAAAGATGTTTTGGGCTGCTCATTGAAGCGATAAGAGGTTGATAACTGAAATTATTTATTTTCCTGAGAAATCGACTTTCAAGAAACAAGTAACATATAACACCAAATACAAAACCAGAGTTATGTTCCTAACAAGTGCGCAAAGTGATAGGTACTTTCCCGCACGAAAAAGCAGTTAGACGAAAGACGCGAAGCGGATTTCCGGATAAGCTTTCAGTGTGGAAAAGATACTTTGCACAAATGTTAGGAACAATACTTTTTCTACGAGTCACCAGTTCCAGAAGCTTAATTATATATGCGAAACAAAAATGAGTTCGAAAAGAGTTTCTAAGCGCAAAGTTCAATTTCAGTAATAACAAAGTAATAACTTTACACACGCGAGTAGAAAAAATATTTTTTTGTTATTTAAGATATTTTTCACACGTTGGCTGCCATGTGTAGCACCGGCGCTACACACAATCATATTTACCACAGGCCGTGTGTTGCACATTGGCAACACAAGCAGCACACATTTTAATTTTGCATATTTTTTTTTTGGCTTGCATTCTATGGTTTGTTATTTGAGTGGTGGCCTACCGATAATATAAGCCTCAACTTTCTGTAATTGGTTCGCGGATTGTGTTATTATGAGCAACTGCTATAGTAGAGCGTCAATAGAGAGGCCGAAAAACTACAATAAAATATTCCAAATTTGTCTCCGCATATTGCGACTTAGGTATGTGAGCTTTTTGCTTACCGTGTTTCACAAAGACGTACTAAATTTTTTTTTCATAATATTCTTTTACATTGATCACCGGTGCTACACATGGCCATGTGTATCACCCGTGTAACACAGTGTTTACTTGAAGAAAAAAAAAATTGTGTTTTTTTATTATTTTCACAATAAAAAGTATTCCTAAACAATATTTTCAGCTTTATTCATCATGGCCCCTCAAGAAGGTATCTACCTCCTTTATGGTGGCCGCCAACGTGTTGAGAAATAAAAGGAATAGAAGGTTTTTGCTCTGGGGGAGGGGCAATTGCCCCCTTTCCCTCCCCCCTGTATACGCCACTGTGCACCCATCAAAACTAAACTGGGCAGCTTCGTTGGAAACTTGGCGATTCAAGTCCATTTACGTGATATTTTTGGTATTTCCTTCTGTACTTAGCTATACTTGTACTGGTACTTGATTCGTAATAAAAAAGTAACTTGAACTTAAGTGCTTTTTCTTGGTACTTACAACAGCTCTGGTTACCCCTGATATCTGGAAAAATCGGCAGCATGGCTACATTGCTGGCGTCATCATTAATTAGCAAATTTCCTATTTTGTTCTGGTTTCCCAACATATTATTACAATTTAATGAACAAAGGCATGGATAAATTCTTGCAAGTCGGTAATAGTTGAGATTCAGATGTGAAATTTAAATGTGGACTTTGACAGGCTCTTAATTGATTGCCATGCACTATGCACTCTTACCCAGTAAATAAAGGAATCGTAACGACAAAAATTTGGATGTGGAAGCCAAATTTGGCTCTTGATTACCACTAGTTATCTACGGAATTAAAGCCTGATGTAATGAAGAAAATTTGCATTTTAAGCACACTTGGGACTTTTACTGGCTCTTGATTTACCTTTAGAAAACTTTTCTACTGAATCAAGAGCCGGTAATGAAAGCTGGATGTGAAAGTTAAACTTGGCTCTTGATTATCTACCACTAGTTGATCGGCAGTTAAGAAAATTTGCATGTCGCAGCAAAATTTGAACTTTTACCAGCTCTTGATTGCCTTTATAAAAATTACCCCAGTGAATCAGGAGCCGGTGACAATTGAAAATTGGATTGTAAAACCAAATTTGAATTCTGATTGCCTCTAGAAATATTATCTAGGGAATCAAGAGCCGGTAATAACGTTGATTTGAAGAACTCATTAGTTCAACTATTGAGAAAAAAATTGCCGACAAAAACTTTCGCTCCTTACCATCTCAACAAAACTATCAAAGAGACTTTGATCAAAGATTTTTTAAATTGCGCACTCTATGCAAGTCCCTATCTCAGAAATGCTACAAAAATTATGTCCAAGATGTTCAAGTCTCTCTCAACAATGATCCAAAACAGTTTTGGAAATACATAAACTCTAAACGCAACTCTCATAGCCTACCCTCCAACATCTCCCGTGACTCCCGTAACAATGTAACATGTGAAATGGGTGTGAATGCAGCCAACCTTCTTGCAAACTGCTTCGGATCAGTATACTCTCAAAATCAACCAAAATTTGCTAATGAAACCTCCCTAAATAATATCAATATACCATCTTATACTATTTCAATATCTGACATCATATATTCTGAGCTATCCAACTTAATTAGTTCAAGGGTCCTAGTCCGGATAAAATTCACCCTATTCTTCTTAAAAATTCCCCTTTTATACTTGCCAGACCTCTGCAAATTATATTTAACAAGTCTCTAAGCTCTGGTCACTTTCCAGACGTCTGGAAATCTAGTTGTGTCACTCCCATCTTCAAGTCTGGAAACAGTGGAGACTTGAAGAATTACAGGCACATCAGTATTATGAGCACTATTAGTAACAAATTATTTAACATCAGTACTCTCAGTTTGGATTTTGTGCTAGCCGAAATACGGAACTAAATCTGTTGTCACACCCATCAAATATCATTGAAACCTTTGAAAATGAATTGGAAGTACCTACATACCATTTATACAGACTTTGCAAAGGCCTTCGATAAAGTGTCTCACAATATCTTAATCCACAAACTTAAATCAATGGGAATTTCAGGTTCCATGCTTGACTGGATTAAGAGTGATATGACTGGACGAACCCAGATTGTAAAAGTAAACAATTTTCTGTCTCATACAATAAAGGTTTCCTCAGGAGTCGCTCAAGGTTCCCATTTAGCTCCACTGCTCTTTAATTGCTTTATAAATGATGCCGAATCACGCCTTAAGCACAGTGATCATAAGCTCTTTGCTGATGATATGAAACTTTCAAAAGTGATCTCTGATTCAAGAGACTGCTTCTTGCTACAGCAAGATCTTAATGAGTTCGTACAGTGGTGCAAGACAAATGGAATGGAGCTAAATTTATCAAAATATAAGCTTATGATCTTTTCTCGCAAACGCTCGCAAAACAACCTTTAATTACACCATTGACGGAAATTTACTTTTGATGGTTGAAACCATTTAATAACTGATTTCGGCATAGTTCTTGACTCAGAACCATCCTAATTACATTCATAGTAAATAAATCGCTTAGAATGTAAGGATTCCTAAAACGAAATACTCAAGATTTTAACATGGATTAAATTTGCAAACTATATCTACTAGGAGAAGTCTCAGGGACCTATCTTTGCTTTTTAAATTAAGTAACTCTATAGTGGATTGTGTCCACCTAACAAGCATGGTGAATCTTCATGTTTCCCATTTCAACACAAGAAATCGTCAACTTTTCATACTCCTTTTTTTCGCACAAATTATAGCAAAAACTCATATTTCCCAGTTCCCACGAACTATGACTATTGCCAATCAAAATACCAATCTAGAATTCTTTTTTGGTACCTACAACCGGGCATAAAAGTGAATAATGGTTTATGTATTGAAAAGAGATTCAAAGGCGCCTTTAATGACATCTCGTTGAAGACGTCTTTAGAATGTCTTAGTCCTAAATACGTATTTAGGTAGACGTCTGAGAGAAGTTGGGTTTTGTAACATACGACGTCTTTAGGATACCTTTCCCGTAAGCAGATGTCTAAAACGTCTTGAATGCCGTTTGTGGACATCTTAGGAACGACTTTAAGATGTGTCTGTACTGTCTGGGAATCTAACAATAATAACTCACAGTATGAAGTTTAGAAGTTCCCAAATGATCTATGCTCGCTTACATTTTTTACTTTTTTTTATAAAATAACAAGATCCAAATAATTCGAAATTTGCCTTTTGAGAAACTTATGAGAGAAAACTTGACGTTTTCCTGTAAGGAAGCTTTATGTGGAATAGGTAGGTACTTATTAATGCAAAAAAGACTTATAAAACTAAAGAATTTAGAATTTCTCTATTACAAAAGTTACATTTATGGTAAAAAACAATTTTGTTCCCACATTCTCTGGTCCCAGTTCTCAACCAATGAAAACACCAAAGATTTTAAATTTCACCCACCCACTTTGGGGTTTCGAAATCCTTATTGGTCCACTGAAAAGATAACTGTCAACTTTTCGATGCTAATTAGGTGACATCCTGTCCCGAAGGATCTCTGAAAATCTCAGTCTGGTTAATTACTTTAACAAATTTTTCAGTTTAGTTGTGTCTTATTAGTCAACAAGTGAGGACTGGAAAATTGTTGTTAATTTTACTCAGACCAAAGAATGAACTTGGCCCTTTTACAAATCACAATGGAATTAAACCCAACCTCATACGAAGAAGAATCTTCTCAAAGCACATCAAACCCTTTAAACATTTTCTATCACGATTTTTCGAGAACAATTGAAACTTATCCCAATATTAAACAAAACGAGTATTTTTATATGCCACCCCAAGCCAATTACGAGCGTTTCGATAGTTTTGACCATAATCAGGACTTGCAAAATTACTGGAATATTCAGCAGAAGCATTGGTGTAATAGTGATAACAATAACCAGTTTAGTGAAAGTGATGAATTCAGAAAGCCACATGAAGATTTTCAAGAAGACACAATGGATTTTGGACTGAATAGTAATGAAGAAGACTATGCAAATGCGTTGGTTAACGTTCAGGATATTGAATTTTCACGTAATGGTAAGACACACATTATAATCAAGGCCTAATCCCTTTTTTTGTGACATCCTAAATCTAATTTATGACTCAAAATATTTCACGGATGACCGAAATGACTAGAGACCACCCAAATTAGAGGGCGTATCTTACAAATTACCAAAACGCCCTGGAGATCAGGGGGCGATTTGTAATAAAAACACCAGAAGGGCTTCAACATCCTAAAACGCACGCTCAATTTATTTCTAGCATTCATACATATAATTTAAGACTTAATCTAAGATTAAAACAAACTTTGTAAAGGCAAGCCTTATAAAATCCTAATAACTGATTTAATTCAACAGACAGCACCAAACACACCCCAGAGTGTTTTCTGCAATCTGCACTAAAAATAAAATAAATGTCAACGGAGCCTTAAAAACGACCTTTTAGCATGCGATCATCAAAATGCTATTATAGGAATGTAAAGGGCGGTAAATAGGGCAAATTTTTTCGAAACAGAAATAGATTAATGGACCAGTTTATCCTTGAAATTCGCTATTTATTTAACCTCACGCCGATTAATTGAAGAAAAATTAAATAAACTACAAATTCATTAGCGGCTAATTTGAAATCTTATATTTATAAATTTAAAATCTGGATCAAAGAAATCTTTACGAAACCCGCCGACAAGGTTGCTACTTTTGTGTGGTATTATGGGGAAATAAAGGAAACAGCTGCAGGAGAATTTTTATGTTTTTACATAATTATGAAATTTTGAATAGAGACTACTTGCAACTTATAAAGTTTCGCTTTGCTTTCCATATCGTAAAGGTATCATCTCTTTTATATTTTTCATTAAAACATAGGTACCGAAAACTCATAAATTACGTGGTTGTAAAAACAACAACGAAAAGGTGTTAGAAATTTTAGGAAACAGATGTTCACTGGTACTTGATACCTACCCTTCGACTTTTTGCTATTTTTGCCCATCATCATGCATTCAATCTTTTTTTTTTTCACAGAATCTAAAGAACAAATTTATGTTAATAAACCAAGAAAAGAAAGGACAGCTTTTACCAAAAACCAAATTCGAGATTTGGAAAAAGAGTTCCTTAGATCAAATTATTTGACAAGGCTTCGAAGATATGAAATAGCTGTGGCATTGGATTTAACAGAAAGACAAGTAAGACTTGTTTAATCGAATATATACTTTTTGTTTCAAATTAATAATTTTAATAAGAAGAAAAGTTTAGGATTACTCTGTTCCAGGTCAAAGTCTGGTTTCAAAATCGAAGAATGAAGTGGAAGAGAACCAAAACAGGAGACAGAAAAAATGATGGGAGAAAATTATGCCGCACAAAGAAATAAGTAGGTATTTACTGTTGCTATCAAATGAAACTTATTTGATTTTCTTTGTGAAATATTATTTAATCTTGCCTTATTTGAAAAAAAAATAACTTCACAGTGTTTAGTTTAGGAGGTGTTTAACTCTTGAAGCTCAAAAGAAAAACGTATAGGATTTCTTTTCTTTAATATACTAGGTAGTTGTTAGTAATAATATTCCTATTGTATAAAAATATAATTTAGCTTTATTTTAAACCAATAAATATTATTGGCTATACATATTCATTATACCTATGTAAGATTTTTTATTTATTTCTCGGCACTTTTCTTTAGAAAGCTTTTGAGCATGACTTCCTAGATTTGTGTTGTGACAATACAATACAATATAATCGTGGAACTAATAAATGCTATGACTATGACTAAAGGGGGAAATGTCTTCAGATTAGGTATACAAGCCTAGTGAGCGTCGAGTATTTTATGTTTCAATGAGATCACGGTACCTCTGATTCTCCTGTCCCTTGTGAAGTCTAATCTTATACGAGCATTGATGTTATGGATTCTCACAATTTCTTGGTAATTTTAAACACTTTTCTAACAAATTTTAAGCAATTTATTATAAAACTGTTGCCTCATAAATTTAGGCATTTTTTTTTTTTAATTTAAGCAGTCATCTGACAACTTCTGAACCTTAAAAATTTGAGAGCGTCGTCTAGCAGTTTTTTCAAAAACTTTTAATGGTCTAAATTTTTATTTCTACCTAGCGGCCTTTAAATATTTAGACTTCTTAGGAAATTGAGACACTTACGTCTTATAAATTTTAGACAGATTTAAAGTTATTATCCTTAAAAGTTTGCATTTAGGTCTGTTTCTGTAGAAATCGCAAACCAGCCAAAGCAAATTTCATTGGTTGAAAACAGTCAGAAATAATCAGAAAACTAGTTTCAACCAATGGAACTCACTCTGACTGACTGCGGTTTGTGATTTCTGCAGAAACAGACCTTTTGGTAACTCCTAAAGAAGGAGCGACGAGCTTTGCGTCGACAGTTAATACCTACAACCTAGTACCAAATGAAAACATAAAAGGTCTATTCTCATAGAATGCCCTATATTTAATTCTATATTCTTAAAGAACAACATTTTCCGATTACAAAAATACATAGTTTTCCTATATTTGGTTGAGCCTTCTCGAACATGTTTGGCTCTGAAAATTTTAAAAATACTCTCAGAGAAACCAAAGTGCCTCATATTTTACATGCAGCGTTCAAGTTTACAGGTAGAACGGTTTACAGAATCAAGTCAGTAGAATAGTATTTTTACCTCGATATTTACAATGAGATGGCTCAACAAAATATAGAAAAACTATATATTTTTAGAATCAAAAAATTGTTCTCTTCAAAAATATATAATCAAATATAGGGTATTCGATTTGGAAAAAGTTGAGAGTACGCAAAATTCCAAAGGACCCCGCAATATTTAAATGGAAATTGGTTACCCGTGATATTTGAATAAAATTTAAATATGTTATTGGGGATGCCGTAAGCAACATTTTTTACCATGGGCACAATCCTGTATATATGACAGGTGAGGCGTGGTTAGCTGTCAAATATTGGAATCTTATATCCAAAAGCAGAGTAAGTATGGAAGATTTTGATGAACAAAAAATCTATTTCTACTAAGTCGACCAAGTTAAGTCGAAAAATGTCAATCATTTTAACACCTGTCAAAACCTTGCCAAACGGCAGCACTCATCTTTTCCAGTTTTCAATATTTTATGTTGTCATTTGACATTTTTAACTTATATGTAAATTCTAAATTCAAAAATTGAAAAAAAAAATGACAGAACTGTCAAAACCTGTCATTTGTTTTAGTAGAAAAAATACTCTAATCTGGTCCTTTCTCGTTTTAAGGTAGTTTATTGGTGATAAAACATTGAACAAAGTTTATGCACGTCACATTTTGAAAGCTGTCATTTTTTTTTTCAATTTTTGAATTCAGAATTTACATATAAATTAAAAATGTCAAATGACAACATAAAATATTGAAAACTGGAAAAGATGAGTGCTGCCGTTTCGCAGGTGTTAAAACGGTTGACATTTTTCGACTTAACTTGGTCGACTTAGTAGAAATAGATTTTTTGTTCATCAAAATCTGCCATAGTTACACTGCTTTTGGATATCAGATTCCAATATTTGACAGCTAACCACGCCTCACCTGTCATATATACAGGGTTGTGCCCATGGTAAAAAATGTTGCTTATGGCATCCCCAATAACATATTTAAATTTCATCCAAATATCAGGGGTAACCAATTTCCATTTAAATATTGCGGGGTCCTTTCTGACAATAAATTTTTGTTTCTGACTATGGATTCTAAAAATTTAGCTAAAACTGCACAACTTATTTGTATTTACACCTATCATTTACCTGTAAAATTGAAGGCTACAGGTGGGGGTCAAAATATACTGAATAACCTGGTACTTACCTCTGAAGTAAACCCTTCTTCAAGCCCGAACATTTTGCACCTCTCAGTTTTAATTCATATTTTAACTTATTCACTGTCCATTGTTCATATGTCATCTTTCCTTCTAGGTACTCATTTGGATTTGAACGTATCTTATAATTTCTGACACTTGAAATTCAAGCCCGGATTTACACAAACGTTAAAACCAGTAACAGATTATACAGGGTGATTCCAAAATGGCGCATGAGCTCTCCACTGTTGAAGGTAATATCCAACTAATGCGATTTTTTTGTCATATATCATTAAGAGACATCTAGAACTTTATAGGAAATATTGCAGAAAAATCGGAAATAAAGAAGTTGACTTCGCAACTTCACTCCTTCACATCAGCAAGATTGGTAGAGCAGTATTTTTTAAAATATTTTTCAGGGGTTCCCTAGTCCCCTACAACGTAGTGGAGACCTTATACGCCATTTTGGAGTCACCCTGTATATTTTTGAAATCAAGGGAAAAGGATCTTAGCTAAAGATATACAGGTTCCAGTGGAAAAAGTTGTGCTTGTTACCCACTTTGTGATGGGAAATTCTCTCGCCCCAAAAGATATGCAAAGATCCGTGAAATTTTAATAGTAACACCTTTCATTTACTAACTATAATCTAACCTCTAATCATCCTATTGCAAATTCTAGAGAATACCTAATTATTTATACCTTGGGATTATCACACAAATCAATAATGTTAGAGGAATTAGATCCAAAATCCATTCTTTGATGTGCAATAGTGCAATGTTCTGGTTGAGAATATTTATGTTATTTTGCTGACAGGAAGATTTTTAGATCCCAGTGTATTGTACAGTAATTGGGGCTCGATGGTTACTGTGTCTTTCGCTGTGATAGGTCAGAACAAACAAGCCAATGTGTTACACAGGGTGGGGTGTTGATTGCTACAAAAAATGTCTTCTCCTTTCGACAGCTTAGTACCCCAATAAATAATGTAAATAGAACATCTTTTAGTTGTGTTGTCTATTGGATCTCATAAAATTATGATTGGAAATGAAAAAATTCCTGGATCTTCATCCGTTGAAGTGTATGAAAGTTTCAGCTTTTCAATTGTTCAATTAATGGACCTGCATGACTTTACAGATGTATTGCTCTGGGGTGGTGCATTTTTTCTCTCAATATTAATTTTTACGAAAGCTTACCCTCTGACTATTTTTACTATAATTTTAAGAGAGCAGAGCAAATTAATTTATACTTATCATATGTAGATTGGAGTTTTATATGTGAGTGTACCGATATGGATATTGTTGTTGAAAGTTTTTATAAAACATTGTTTGACATAATCGACTTATTTGTGCCTACATAGCTCGCTATAAATCACCAAAATTCCCTAAATGGCTGAATAACGAAATTAAGAACTTAATTATGGAAAAAAAGAAAGCCCATAAAACTTTTAAAGCCACACATTCCTTGGATGATTAGTCTCGAGTCTCTGAACTAAGTCACAGTGTAAATTAAAGTTACAGTTATCACACAAAGAATACATAACCAGTTTAGAAAGTCAGCTCAAAGACAAAAAGAGCTTCTAGAAATATGTAAATTCAAAAAAAGGAAAATCTGAATATCCTCAGTGCATGAATCTCAATGAGAGGGAAGTAATGATCCACAGGATATAGTTGACATGTTCAAGGGTCATTTTGCATCGGTATACTCGGAATATGACAACTCTGAGGATGCTACTTTTGAATCGCAGATGATGGTTGATCTTGGGCAGCTTAAACTGTCTCCACTTAATTTTTTGGACAGAATTTGCAAATTAAAGCAGAGTCTCGGTGTTGAGCCAGATGACATACCTGTTGTTTTCCTAGAAAGCTGCAGGTTTGTTCTGTCTCAAATTTTGTGTGATATTTTTAATGTCATTGTCTACTGGTGCATATCCAGCAGCTTGGAATAAATCCTATGTTGTTACCCCAGTCTTTAAAAATGGAGACAAATCTAATATTGAAAATTATCGCGCAATATCAAAGGTCTCCTTGGTGGCCAAAGTTTTTGAAGGTATTGTTACAGATAAAATCACGCCACATTTTAAGAATGTCATTATCAATGGACAACATGGTTTCATGAAGGGAAATTCCACCATAACAAATCTTTTAACTTATGAGCAAGCTTTGTTGGAAGCTTTCGGGAAGAGGTATGAAGTTAATGCAATTTATACTGATTTCTCGAAGGCTTTGGATAAAGTTGATCATAACATTCTCTTAAAAAAGCTGGAGGCTACTGGTGTACATGGCATTTTAATTAGGTGGTTTCAGAGTCATCTAACAGGCAGAAAACAATCTGTCAAAATGAACAATTATTATATCCTCAGAAGTGAAAGTTACTTCTGGTGTTGCCCAGAGTGGACACCTGTCTACACGTCTTTTTAATTGTTTTTTTAATGATGTTGAACATGTTTTTAAATCTAGTACCTATGTTTCTTGCATTTGCTGATGATTTGAAATTTTTCAAGATAATTAAATCCACTGAAAATTGTATTTTGTTGCAAGAAGATTTAATTAGATTTTCTGCTTGGTGTAAATTAAATAATTTCACTTTAAACATCGAAAAGTGTAGTGTTTCTCATTCAGTAGATCTAGGGACCCTATTTTCGATTATACACTTGATTCATTGGAGTTGACAAACCCTAGTTAAGGACCTTTGCATCTGGCTAGACAGTAAGTTAACCTTTCCAAAACATATTGATATAATAACAAATAGAGCAACAAGGTTACTGGGGTTTATATTTAGAACTCTTAAGGGTTTCAATAATGTTTTTACGATAGATGTTTATTGTTCTCTGGTTCGATCCATCCTAGAGTATGGAAGTTCTGTCTGGCAACCATATTATGCTGTGCATAAGAAAAAACTGGAGAGAGTACAAAATAAATTTCTCAAAAGAATAGGACTTTAACTAAATATTCCTTATGAAAATGTTAATTGTGAAGAACTTAGAAAATTGGGAGAGTAGGAGAAACTCTTTTGACATCTGTTTGTTGCATAAAATCTTGAATAATATTATGGAGATCATTGAATTAATTGCAGATATTGGTCTAAACATATCTCCTATTAATTCTAGAAATAGTCAGCTTTTTTCAAGGCTTTTTTATATTGATTTTTACAGAACGAACTACAGTCTGAGAAGCTAGTTTTAGTTTTGTAGCTTGTAGCTTGACATTTATATTAAATTAATACCTAACGTTGTAAATAGTCCCCAGTACATCGACCTAAAAATGTTGTAACTCATGTACACGCCAAACTTCCTGAGCGGCTTCCTAACACCAAGTCGGACAATATTTTTCATATCTCCACCTTGGGCGATGGGACATTGCCGCGCTAGCTCTTCGTGAAGTTGTCGTTCTGACGTCCATAAGGAAGTTGATACATGTACGTGTGGTTTTAATGCCAATCGACTGTTTTTGACATTATATTAACGATATCACATTTGTCGGACAAAAACCATGTGGCTTTGGGGAAGGTCCGACACCCCCAACATGTCGCTGTGGCGTCCCTAAGGAAGTTGGTACATGTACGTGTAGTTTTAATGCCAATCGATTATTTTTTGTATTACATTAACGATATCATATATGTCGGACAAAAATCACGTGGCTTCGGAGGGGTCCGACGCTCTCAACATGTCGCTGTGGCGTCCCTGAGAAAGTTGATACATGTACGTGTGTTTTTAATACCAATCGACGGCTTTTTACATTACATTACCGATATCACATTTGTCGGACAAGAAATTTGAGACAATCAATGAAAAAATTAAAATTAGTTTGCCTTTAAGCAATGTGCATATTAGTCAACTTATTATTTACCTACTTTGTCAAATACCTGTGGGGACCTGTGTCATATTCGCTGATCTGTTTTTTTTGGATAATTCTCCGAGTATTTACGGGAATGATTTAGTGAACGGTCGTTGAAAACCACGCGTTTGAAAAAGAATGGATATTGTGTCGTGTTTTTTGTGCGATCTCAGGAGTAGAGATCCTGAATTTTGGCAGAAATTGATCAAAAGGACTTTTGTTGTCCGACTGACTTTAATACTCATTCTTTTTGTCCGACATTTACTACACATGTTTTAAAATTACATTGTTACTCATAATTATTTTTGTCGGACATACATGTATCAACTTCCTTAGGGGCGCCACAGCGACATGTTGGGGGCGTCGGATCCAACCAAAGCCACGTGATTTTTGTCCGACATATGTGATATCAATAATGTAACATAAAAACAGTCGATTGGCATCAAAACCACATGTACATGTATCAACTTCCTCGGGGACGCCACAGCCACATGTTGAGAGCGTCGGACCTTCCCCAAAGCCACATGGTTTTTGTCCGACAAATGTGATATCGTTAATATAATGTCAAAAACAGTCGATTGGCATTAAAACTACACGTACATGTATCAACTTCCTTAGGGACGTCAGAACGACAACTTCACAAAGAGCTAGCGCGAAAATGTCCCATCGCCCGGGGTGGAGATATGAAAAATATTGTCCAACTTGGTGTTATGAAGCCGCTCAGGAAGTTTGGCCTGTACATGAGTTACAAAATTTTAGGGTCGATGTACTGGGGACTAAAATGCTTTAATTGCGTTAATAAAATTTTGAAATTTGAATAAAAATGTATTGCAATTTCATTTTTCCATGAAAAAAAAAAAAAACATAATACCAACTCCTTACCCATTAAAAACGAATTTTTATTGAAATTAAACATTTACAAGTCACTTTTTCTTGCCAATTCTCACAGATTTAGTTTGTACAAGTGGAGTCCCTTGTACTCTTATCAGTTCCCTGGCAATCTTCTTGAGGACATCCTTATTGAGATCTAAAGGCTTCTTTTCCTTTTTTACTTTGGTAATTCCTCCTTTAGCAACTTTTTTTGTTTTAGATCTCAATTTTTGAGTTTGCGTCCGTTGTTCCTTCAAATCAACTAAATTCGTGTTTTTAAGTAGAGTTTTTACTGAATCCAATGACTTAGCTAATACGGCCTTGTTTGATGATTTGGATTTGGTTAATGCTTTAGCAGATGAAGGTGATGTTTCCAATGATTTTTTGGATTTTGATTTTTTCATGTTTGGATTTAAAACTAAATTGGCACTCGAACGCAGGCTCATCTTTGACTTTGGTTCAACTTTTATTTTACTAATAATCTCGTCATTTGAATGTAAAGGACTCACTTTACATTGAATGCCAAGACTTTTCAATTTTTTAACTTTAGCATTAAATCTGCCTAAGCTTTTTTTAGCTTTTTTGATGACAGTTTTGGAGTCTTGAATTTTATTTTTAGAATGTTTTTCTTTGCCTTGTCTTGTCCGGACTGAAGTATGTTTTAGGGTGCTACTAGTTCCATGGAAAAGGCCTTTTGGGCGTTTTTCATAAGGTACATATTCGGCTAGAGAAAAAAGGGATGTTGTCAATAAAAAAAATACCATAATAAATAAATACTTACTGACTACCCTCTTTTTAAACATAACATAATTATCCATAGTATCAGCTGCAATTTTGGCTACTTCAGGATGGTCAAATTCCACATATCCGTATCCTTTGCTATTGCCACTGACTCTGGATCTACAAACTTTAACATTTGTAACTTTTCCAAATTGTTTAAAGTAGTTTTTCATTTCCTCTTCATAAAAACCATGAGGAATGTGCCCGATATAAATTAAGCCACGACCTTCTTCCAGTTTTTGTTTTTTTTCTTTGTGATTCACAGTCACAGTTATTGAACCATCCTAATAGAAAAAACATTATTGTTTGGTTGCAAATTATTTCAAATTTAATGGTGCTTACCTTGATGCCTTTTTTAATGCGTTTTGACTCTCTTGCTACTTTTTTCTGTTTAGTTTTATCCAATGCAAGTGTACCTGAGCTAGTAGATGTGACTGATGTTTGAGCTGATGGTGTTTTGAGGTTAGTTTCTTCTATGGATGCACCAATCTAGAATACAATTTGTTTGTAATAATATTAATTAAATGAATAATTGATAAAAGACACAATAGTCTATAGAAAATTGGCGCAGGGTTTATGTATGTAAATTTTTTTAAGGTGGAATGAAAACTGGCAATTTTGGGCAATCGTTTGGACACTTACCACAGGATTTTCGATAGTGATAGTCGTTTTGGACACTTTTTTAGTCTTTTTCGCCTTTTCTTTCTTAATTTTGACCATTTTGATATCAATAGAAGAACTACAAAATTTTTCAAACACACACACACAAAAAAAACGTGTTAAAATGTCAAGAAATCAAATAAATGTCATTATTCGTAATTTGTCAATTTCATTACAGTGCTGCCAACTTTGTACCAAGATTTCATTTGTCGTAAACGATTCCGCACCTACCTGTTCTCCTTCTGCCGAACCGCTTCGCCACTAGTGCAGTGCAGGCTTTTTGAATTCCATTGGGAATCTGCTGCAGCACTTTTTACCCCAAGTGCAATCTGCCCCCGGATTCTATTTTACGAGTCGAGTCGGATTGTCTCGATATCGAATACGACAGCTCCGGACATACCGTGTAATAGTATCGAAATATCGTAAAATAGAATCGCTCTCAGGGTAAGCGTGTCCTGGCGAAAAAGGAGTAGACTGAAAGAAAATCGTATCGATACTGCTGAATATCGATAAACCCTTCTCTACTCTCAGGCTATGTTCCGATATCAACTGCCAGTACTGGATTAACTGTGCTGATTTTACTGTCATTTGCCGTTCCGATTTCAACAGCGTACTCTTGTGGTCATTCAGTACTGAATCGACTGAATCCAGTGTACTGAAAATAATATTGGAACGGCGTCCAGTAAATTCAGTACTGACAGATGATATCGGAACTTAGGCTCAGCCTGTTCTGTCATGTCTTTTACAACGTTGCCAAGCCAGTTCAGCGGATTCTTAGAGCAGGTAAGACGCTGTCCTACGGACTTACGAACATAAGGAGTAGGAACGCGCTATTCTGCTATAAAAGTAAAAGTGAAGCCAAGTTTTTCGCAGGTGTTTGGCACCAAGATACAGGTAAAGCATTGAATTTCCTATGCCGCCATTTTCTTGGTGCCAAAATACCTGGAAAAAACGGCTTCATTTTCCAAATCCAGGTTACTACTCCTCTTTACCTTTACCTGCTCTAAGAACGGATTAAATTTCAAATCGTAAATTGTGAAAATCCTCTTCTGCGTCATCTGTCATCTGTCAAATGTGTCAAATGAAAATTTCTTTTACATGCCTGTTTTAATGGCCGATGTGTTTATTTTTCGACACTGATCGGAAAATCCTTCAAAATCCAATCCATCTTCGGGAATATCCCTTCAAAAAAGTTAATTTAAATAATTAAACACCATGGCGGACAAGGTTAGTGCAATATTTTTTTCCAGGTTCATTCTGGAAATTGGGTTTTAGGTTGTTTTTGTTTTGTGTATGTTGGAGAGCCGAAATTTAATAATTACCATTGGTAAAAATTCAATTAAAAGGTAAATTATTGTTTTAGGTCGATGAGCAAGTCAAGAAGAAGAGGACTTTCAAAAAGTTCACCTACAGAGGAGTAGATTTGGATCAACTTCTGGACATGCCAAAGTAAGTGGAATTTTGCTTTACCCCCAATTCCAAGTTAAATCATTTTAATTCAGCTTTGATTATTTGATAAAACAAATCAATGTTTTATGTCACCACACTCCAGCCTCTTCCAAGTTTTACGTTTATTTGTTTTTTCTTTCTTGGTTTTTGCATATTTTATAATAAACTATTAAGAGTCGGTTCATTTACCTTCTGATAAACTAGCGGGTATGCAATCTGATGGATAAAAACGCAATCTGCTATCCCGGTGGTTATCCGTCAATCAATAGAATCATTATAAAACGGTTAATATGTGGGGTTTTTCACCTTGTTAATCGGTGTACAAATCACTGGTTAATATATGTCAATACCAGGTAAATACTATGTCAATTGTGTCAATACTATGCAATACCTACTTGTTAATTATCTAGGTAATATCAATACTTACAGATATCTAGGCAGTATGTGTGAATGTCATTGGTTGATACCCATTAATATCATGTAAATACCTGTGGATATGTCAATACCTAGAATTCTGGCAAAACAAATATTTGATTTTAGTCTGTCAATAGCATGGCAATACCTGGTCATATGTGATAATACTAGGGAAATACCTGGCAATATGGGGAAATATTTTTTTAATACATGGAAATAGTTGGCAATAACTTGTTATAAGGTAGATAGAAATATCTGTTAATAATACATGGAAACATCTCAGTTAGTACAGTTAATCGGTGTACAAATTTTGTTAGGTGAAAAACCCCTCGGGTTAATTTATCTTGCATAATGATGTGAGTTAAGAATATTCCCATGCGAATATTCGCTAACATTGGGAAATTTCCGAGAATATTCGCCGATAAAAAATGGAAACGTTCTCCTGAATGAGAATATTCCCAGAAACTTTCAATCAAAAACTCTCAAAAGAATATTTCCGAGAACTTTCGCGAATATTTCTGAGAACTTTCGCGAATATTTCTGAGAACTTTTGAGAATATTTCCAAGAATTTTCTAGAAGAATTTTATAAAAGTGCAAGATTATTGTGAATACAAGGTCTCAGTGACGTTATTTCAATTTATGTGAATGACGTAGCCCAGTCCAACTGTCTTTACGGAAACACTGATCCGATTTACCCTATCACCAGCTGATGTACAGTGTGGTCATTTTATCTTGATAACATTTCAAACTGTCATAATTTCTTTATTTTTGAAGTTATTTAAATAAGTAAAAAAACATACTGTAGGGTTGGTTTCCAAGTTTTAGATAGGGTGGACAAAAAACAAAAGACTGATATACTTTGACAGTTATGCACACAAATAGCATTTTTTTTAATGAAACACCCAGTAAATTTTTAAATTGTTTGATAATATGTTTCATTCTGATTGCAATACATATAATACAATACACTTTAATACAATTTACTCTATATTGACATGCAGAAGTGTTTTATTGATGCTAACAGAAAATTCTGTCTACCTACCTAACTTTGCAGGTAATCTGTGTAGGTAATCAATATTTGCAGTTAGAATAAATGAAACATTTCTGTATGTAAATATAAAGTGAATTGTATTCAATTGTATTCTATTGTATATAATGCAATTAGAAGAAAACATAATATTATCAAACAAACTTGAAATTTACTGGGTGTTCCATTTTAAAAAATGCTTTTTGTGTGTGAAACTGTCAAAATATATTAGTCTTTTGTTTTTTGTCCATCCTATCTAAAACTTGGAAAACAACCAAACAGTATGTTTTTTTATTTATTTAAATAACTTTAAAAATAAAGAAATTATGACAGTTTAAAATGTTATCAAGATAAAATGACCACCCTGTACAGTCGTGAGCATAAAAAGTGGGACGCCCGTTTTTTCCCATTGTAAAACAAGCTCATCAGCTATACCTACGGCCATAACAGGGATTGTCACATTTATTTGACAAAAAACACATTGTAGAGAAAAGACTGATTTAACCAAAATAGCGAAAAATGACAAGACCTGTCAGTCGGGTGTCCCACTTTTTATGCTCACGACTGTACCTAAAGTTTGTCTTTTATTTTTAAATAATCTTTATTGAAGACAGATAAAAAATACAGAGCTGAGAGATTGGGTTAATCAGATCAGCTTTTCCTTTAAAGCCTTATTCAACCGTCCATAAAAGTGTTTTTACTACATAGTTTAATTTTTAGCTGATCTTACAGAAAAAATAGGTGCTTTTCTACCAGCAAGTTTATCTGAAGATGAATAAACCAGACCTTAGTGTAATTTCATCATGAAGAATTTAACATTAGTAAATTTGGATAATAAATTGCAATTCACCTAGATTCTTTGACAGTAAATAATTTTTTACTGCGAAAGTTTGGTTCGTCCTTCTACTTTGAGGGGTGGGTTGAGTAGTACTATTGACCCTCTAACTACCATAAAAATTTCATATCAAAAATCCGGTCCTGGTTCACTTGTATGAAATTATTGATATTTTCAAAAGTTAGAAAAGACATGGGGGCGGATTACGAACTCTCGATTCGAACCGAAACCGCCATGGATTTCGAATGCATCAGAATGCGTTCGAAATTCATGGCGGTTTCGGTTCGAATCGAGAGTTCGTAATCCGCCCCATGATTTCCGAGTGATTTCTAAGTTGAAAATATTGTTATTGAAAATGTCTCATTTTATTATAACATAAAAATTTCCTTTTTATTTTAGTGAGCAGCTCATGGAACTCATGCACTGCCGTGCCAGAAGGCGTTTCAGCCGTGGTCTTAAACGTAAACCGATGGCACTAGTCAAGAAATTGAGGAAAGCCAAAAAAGAAGCCCCTCCTCTAGAAAAACCAGAAATTGTGAAGACTCACCTCCGTAACATGATCATCGTTCCCGAAATGGTTGGATCTATTGTAGGTGTATACAATGGGAAAGCCTTCACACAGGTTGAAATCAAACCTGAAATGATTGGTCACTATTTGGGAGAATTCTCGCTGACCTACAAACCAGTAAAACACGGTAGGCCTGGTATTGGTGCCACTCACAGCTCTAGGTTTATTCCTCTCAAGTAAATCTCGATTTTTCTGGATTGTTTATAAATAGGTTTTGTTACAATGTATTGAAATAAAGATTTTCTGGAGGGAATTTGCTATATTCATTTTTGTTCTAATAGTAGTAATTTAAAATTAATACCTATACCTATTAAAAAAATACTGGCAAGTTATAGAAACTAGAAACAGGACAAATGAACCTAAATGTATTTCGAAAATTTATTTACTTGAAACTGATGCAGCAACTCATTGGCATCCAGAAAAACATAATATGACCTTAGTAAAAAATGAATGGTTTCCGAGTCACTTTAATAGAATTTGCTAAAATCGTCCACTTGGATCAAATTTTCATTATTCTTAGATTCTGAATTCAGTTTTGCAATGGTAAATAGACATTTCATTTGTCATAGACCTACATTCGAAGTCGAAGTTCAAAACATTCACTTGAAAAAATTTTTAAAGTGAAGTTATACTTCACTTTAAAAAGATTTTCTAGTGAATATTTTGAACTTTGACTTTTAATGTTGGTCTATGACAAATGAAATGTTCATTCACCATTGCAAAACTCAATTCAGAATCTAAGAATAATGAAAATTTTAAGGTGACACTTGAAAATCTGATCCAAGTGGACGATTTTAGCAAATTCTATTAAAGTGACTTGGAAACCATTGATTTTTTACTAAGGTCATATTATGTTTTTCTGGATGCTAATGAGTTGCTGCATCAGTCCTTTCGATATTATCGTTGACTTTCCGGATACCCTGTATATGTGGTGACCAAGTTGCCCCAGAGTTGGGGCAACTTATTCACATTTGAGAATATGGATGAAATAAGTGCTGTAAATGGTTTGTTTGGCCATGTTACCTCGGATTTACTTTTAAAATGTATTCAGAAAAAAAAAACAACACAACATGCTAAAATCTGTAGAGAAGGCGCACCGGCGTATCCAGCCCATGCATCTGGGGGGGGGGTAATCAGCCCATTTTTTCCCGGGTGCCACGCCCAAAAACGTTGACTTTGAGCCTTCAAAAAAAAATTTTCTACGAGAGTGAGGACAATTAAACAGTGCGGAAAATCGATTTTCTCGCACGGTGCGGCGAATTTTTTTCCGCACGGATATCGGTGCGGAAAAATCTAAATCTTTTCCGCATGGCTGTCAAAAAAAAATCAATAAATGACTACAAATTATGTAGGTATATGCAAGGCAGTGTTGTCAATCTGAATTTGTGAAATTGCACGATATGCTGGTAAAATTACACGTTTTTACACGCTTTCATTTTTCACAATTACACGATTTTGACACACGATCTTGGTAACCAATCTGTAACATCAAGAAGCAAGTATTTTTTTTTGGGATTTTGGGAAATGGGTTAAATCGTAATGCCCGATTGCACCGTCTCTCTTAACCGAGGCTTAGAGATAACTATTCCTTAAAGTGACATTTTCCCATGCAAAACTGTCAATTTAAGGGATAGTTATCGTTAAGCCTCAGTTAAGAGAGATGGTGCAATCGGGCATAAATCCAGTCAAATCTGAGGGTTAATGCTCCTGATCATAATTCCTCAACGAAAAATAAAAATGTGGCAACTACAGAAAAGCGTTCCGAAAGTAATCGAATTACTAATTACTGGTTCCTGGAAAAGAGGTTACTTTTGTACCTCAGTTTCCTGCAAGGATACTACACACTACTACTATAGGATAGTCTATCCTCATAAGGCCTGTGTAGTTCAATCTGAAGCCGCCGCTGCCATGCCAAAATATCATCAGTGATGACGTAGACAGCGTGTCGTTTCTCGTCTTCACGTAGGGTGTTTGTACCACAGGTTATGATTCCGCGGGCTTTTCCTTTATGCAAAACTTGGTTTCACTACATTAATTAATATTCTGAAACAACTCTTTCTCGTTTTTGGTAATCGCCGCCATATTGGTTTTCAACTGTTTTCAACCATTGTCGACGTCATAACTAAGTTTTCAGCTGTTTAAACAGCCTACGTCAAGGCGAGAAACGCCATGCTGATACGTCACAACTGGTTGTTTGGCTAAAGGGGGTAGAGGGGGATTTTTTACAATCAGGCCTTATGAGGATAAGCAAAGCCCTCTATATTGTCTAACGACAAGCCGTGAAGTGCACAATCTGGCAACGTGTTGTGTGGTCCGATGGTTTTATAGGTTTTTACGAGGTTAGGTGTGTCATATTGTGCAGTAGGCCGGTAAAAATATCAAATATTCGCCAATAAACAGTTTAAATAACTAAAGTATATAATTTTTAAATTATTGCAAAATAATTCTGTGTATATTAAATAAAGAGATAAAGTCAGGGTGAGTAAATAAACATTATGCATATAAAAGTTGGTTGATACTTTTTATCTGATATTTGAATTTCAATACTAATAAAATAGGAATAATGTCGTTAATTTTAGGTGCCCAGACACTGCTGCGTCCCTGGCTGTACTTCAAATTATGCAAATGCAATTAAACATGATGCAATGAAATCCACATTTTCCTTTCCAAAAGAAGAACACATTCGTCAGCAATGGATTCGCTCCATTCACAGGGACAATTGGGAGGTTTCCAGTGGTTCAGTAGTTTGTGAGGAACATTTTGAAATATCGGAAATAATAAGAGTCGAAACATATAAAAACAAACAAGGAGTTTTGAGTGAATTTCCACTTAAGAGGCCAAGATTAAGTGAAGGTGCAGTGCCCCATATTTTTCCTAATCAGCTTAAATAGGTATTTGTCAAAATCTCTAGCGACTTCTAGGGTTGATCCCGAAGAAAGGAGAGAAAAAATTCGAGACAAACTACTTTAGGAAACACAGACTTTCTTGAAAAATGATAAAATAGAGAGTTTTGCGGAATTTCTTCAAATTTTTAAATCAAAAGTCTGTTTAGAACAGTGGGATTTTAAAGTTAAAGGAGAGAAAGTTTACTTTTTTTATTAAACCTGTGTGTTGGTGACTTGGACCGTGAAGAAAGTGTTAGTGTTGTTTCCAGTATTATTATTGACAATACACTCACTGTACAAGTCTTTATTGATGCGAATGTGGCGTATCATATTATAAAATGTATTACACAGTTGCTCTTATTTTTACTAATATTATTTTAAACAATTTCGTAAAAAATAAAAATAGTGAAATTCACAGGAATAAAAATTCAAACCTAAAGAAAAGAAAACTTGCTACTTATCAATAATAATAGTTGTAGGTTATGTTAGATATTAAAAAATTCACTTAAATTTTTATTTTTCTAATGTAAATTACACAATAAAATAATTGAAATGCCAAAAATTCTTGTTGTTTTTTATCCTCTTCATACCTATATTCTATTTAAAATTTAAAATCTCAAATTTAATGTTTGCCGCGCTAGCAGGCGGCCGGACCAGACCGGACCACTTGAAGAGAAATATGCAGCGTTGCCATTTTAACTTCACGGCTTGTCGTTAGACAATATAGAGGGCTTTGGGATAAGCCATCCTGTAGTAATAGTAGTGTGTATCATCCTTGGGTATATGTACCTACTTATTTCCGCACGTCTGTAAAAAACCAATTGTACCTAACACATGCGAAAAATCTGTCTTCCGAACTTGGCTGCTTCACCGAATTCCGCTACGCGTCTTTGGGTGAACGACAGACTCGTGTGGAAAAATTCATTTTTCGCACTTGTTAGGTAAATATGTTCTGTACTACCAACAAATAACGAAACCGAACTCTGATAGCGAATTCCATTGGAATAAAGGTTAGTGCGCACCGAGTGTATTCGTATCTTATTCTACCAGCTTATATAAGAAAGAGATAAAAATACACTCTTTCGCACTGATTTTACCAATGGAATTCGCTATGAGAATCCCCTAAAAGTTTTCAATTATAGGCATAGCGAATTCTATTGGTAGGATTAATACAAAAAAATTATTTATCTCTTTCTTATGCAAGCTAGTAGAGAAAGATATGAATACACTCTCTATAAATGGCATGCGGGCAGTGCGGACACTGTGCAAACTAGAAAACAAGTTAGGGCCAGTTGCTGAAAAGTAAAAATATAAAAAATAGATTTATTTGTAAGGTGTAGGGTACATTTTTTTCGTCCATCGTAACGATCTTGGGGGGGGTAATTACCCCCATTACCCCCCCCTTGTATACGCCGGTGAGAAGGCGACTAATATTAAAAAAGAAAAAAAAAAGATAATAATAAAAGGTTTAAAATGACCTTAACAATAAATAGACATTACATATTACATATGGTGATTTTTACAAACAACAGACTGTTTTGAACCAATGAAATTCGCTCTGACTGATTTGTGATTTCTACAGAAACAGACCTATCATCATAATTAATAGTCATTACTAATATTTTATTATCTATTCACAATCCGATGTCCAAAGGTAAAGGTAAAATTTATCACCTTTCAGAGCTATTTGATAGGGAAAGGTGATAAATTTACCTTTACCTTTGGACTAGGGATTGCGAATAGGATATAGTTTGTTTGAAAGTTTTTTCAGGTAATGACCAACGTGCAAATCAGGGACAAGAGTTCCTGTTTGGGAATCGACCCACTGAGTAGTGGACCCCGCATTCCCGTGCCAATCCTTGACGCGTTTCGTCCTTGTTAGGACTCATCAGAAGGACATAGGCTGAAGCTCCCTGTTCAAGCAAATTGAACTTCGTTGACCAATCAGTCCCTGATTTGCACGTTGGTCATTACCTGAAAAAACTTTCAAACAATTTTCATTGCCAACGAAAGCTCAGACCAATCAGTGTAGTTCAATGCCGGTAGGGGTATTTGCCCTCGGAGTAGTTGTTTCTGATTGGTCAACGAAGTTCAGGATATAGTTTGTATGCAACATGTTTTAAGAATCTTCATTGTACCCTGTCCAGTTGGTACTTATGTTACCAATAAAAGGGGGACCAAACAGGACTTGCCTACTCCAGAATCTGGCGAACTATAGCCGAATATGCATTCCTCAAGGTGTAAATGCTATTAAAATCTCTCAAATTACCCATTATAAATCCCAATATTCGCAGGGCTTTATTGGATATTCTTTCAATATGTTCAGAAAAATTCAATTTGACATCTATATAGAAATACCCTAAGATCTCTAATAATATAAACGCTGTGACTAGAGTCCCGACTCGGGATCCGTGATCGACATCCAGTCCCGATTAACATCAATGAATGACGTTAATAATAGTTTTTACGAGACTGGATATAGGTCCCGAATTGGGACTCGCATATGGTCCCTAAATCCCTAAAGAAGTATAACAATAATATGTAATTCCTTCATTAGGTGAAACAATGTTATTCAATTCAAATAAATAAGACAATGTTATATTTCTAAAGCGTAGATTTTATTTCAAAAACACTTTTTTACAGAAAATACAGTAGTTTACATTACATATTGATTGATGAAATTTTTCACATCAGTACCTAAGCTTAACTTTTTTGTAAATTTTCAACTTGTAAATTCAAGAGAAACAGTGATAGCCTTAGAAATTGAAGGCATGCTCACGAATACATTTCTGGATTTTCTACCTAAACTTATTGTCACCACTATTTAACACTTATAAACAAATGCCCACCTGTTACATAAAAGCACGTACCACCCATAATTTATATACATAACTTAAACTTCTGAACGCGTCATCTAATGTAATTGAAATTTTGAGGATCTGGGTAGCTTTTTTGCCGCTTCTATCTGTGTCATCCAATTTCACCACTTTTGCTCCAGTTTCGGGTTCGGTCAAGTAATGACAGCAATTTTGGAGTAAAATCTCGTGGGAACCCTAGGGTATCAACAACAATACATGATTTATGGCTATATTATAACCTTCGAACAGGTGTTTTAAGTCAGGACATGTCTATGGTCAGGACCGTACGCCGGTTCCGAGATTCTCGAATCGGGGCGGACCACCAGTCCCGAAAAAACTACTGATGACGTCATTCGGGACTGGTTTCGGTGATTTGAACTGCCCTATGATAGTTACGCCGGTGATAAACCCTATCAAGTTAAAAATAATAGGACTTTTAGATCTATGGAAAGACATCTTTGCACTTATTAACGTTTAGTGCCAAATGATTGTCTTCACACCAGCTCAAGAAATTGTAAGATTTCACAGTCATGGATATTTTTTGTAGGGACAAAGACTTTCTTTTCATGAGCAATTTACAGTGTTTAAAAACATCGTTAACGTCATTCAAGAAAATATTGAAAAGGAGAGGGGACAGATGCCTGATGCCCACCTTGTAAAACACCAGAAATTATGTTAATCTCTGATGAGACTGAGTTTTTTTATCTTCACTCTCTGTTTTCTTCCCGAAAGTTGGTCAATCACCCACTTCAAAAATGATCCATGAAACCCCATACTTTCCAGCTTTTTTTCTCAGAATTTTATGGTCGACCGTGTCAAACGCCTTAGAGAAGTCTGTATACATCATGTCCACCTGATATCCCTCCTCCACTGCATCAAACAAGGCTTGCTCAAACTCCAGCAAGTTGGTGACTGTGGATTTGCCTTTCATGAACCCATGTTGTTCTGGTATAATTATATTTTTGGATGCAGGTGTTAAATTATCTGTAACACTATTGACTCAAAAAACTTAGAAAATCGTTGGAAGAATTCATGTGGACAATGATCTATTGTAGATTTTACACAGGATGTAAGAGAACAAGTATACAGGGTGTCCCACCGGGAACCAAATCGATCTACATAGGTATATATGTATAAAAACTGTATGCAGAAAATTTTTGAAAATTTGACAGTATACTATATCAATGTGGGCAACCTGGCTAAAATATTTTCAAGATGTGAGCTGAGACCAATAAATATGCTAGCGACTTTTGAAAAAATTATTGAGAAAGTTATTTATGATCAATTTATCGAATATATTTCAGAAAAGAAAATATTGTATGCAAACCAATCGGGTTTCAGACAAAATCATAGTTGCGAAACAGCCATACAAAATATTTTTTCTATTTTGGTGTCATATTGAAGTCTTTTCGACACTAAAAGTAGTTTCGAAAAGAAGCTCTTTGTGACACTCCTTTTTTACTTATCGAAGGTTGGTAACACTGGCTGACTGATGGCCATCGAACTGTCATTCGCGATTTTATAATAGAAGATTTCTATATTTGGCAAGTAGTGTTACCAATCTAAACATATGAAATCAGGAAATATGAGAATAAAATGTTCAAGAAAAATTTGTTTTTCTTAATTAAACAATACCAAAATAGAAAAAATAGTATAAAATATTCGTTTCATAAGACATTTTATCGCACTCGCCCTTTAGAAAACTCGCCTCCGGCTCGTTTTCTAATATAGGGCTCGTGCGATAAAATGACGTCTTATGAAACTTGTATTTTAATGTACTATTATATAATTGGAAGAACCAACTGGATAATGATGTTATGATTGGGGCGGTTTTTCTTGATTTTAAAAGGGCATTTGAGACTATCAACAGGTGTAGCTTGGTGCAAAAATTGCAAAAATATGGTATAGAAGGTGTAGCTCTAAAGTGGTTTCAGAACTATTTGCAGAATAGGAAACAGAACACATACATAAACAAGATCACTTCTCCAGAAATTTTAAACGATAATGGCGTACCACAGGGAAGTAAATTGGGGCCATTACTGTTTCTTATATATATTAATGATATTGTTAAGTGTATAACAAGCTGCCAGATCCATCTATTTGCAGATGACACTTTAATTTACTTCTGTTCTAGAGATTTGAAATTGGTGACTGATGCTATTAATGGAGACTTGGAGAATGTATTATCGTGGTGTAATGGAAATTTACTAAAATTAAACGCATCAAAAACAAAGTTTATGCTTATTGCTAATAATCAGCAATATAATATGGCAACTCCATTTAAAATTGCCATTGGAAGTGAAGATATTGAGATGGTTGAAGAGATCAAGTATTTGGGTGTTATAATTGACAGAAGGCTTCAATTTAAGGAACACATTAATTATATTACTAACAAAATAGCAAAAAACACGGGTGTCCTGACTAGAGTAGCACCTTTTCTATCAAAGTGGACTCGCATCATGGTGTATAATACCATTATTCTACCACATCTTACATACGCATCATCGGTGCTGTACATGATGAACAAAAACGGAAAAGATAGGCTGCAAAAGTTACAAAACAAAGCGATGCGAGTAATACTTCATTGTCCCAAGGACACAGCGGTTAGATCTATGCTACTGTCTCTAAACTGGTTATCCATCGAGAATTTTTTAAATTATCAAGCCATGACATTCATTTATAGAATAAAGAGTTCTGTAATGCCAATGTACTTGTCATCGAAACTGCTGTACAACCGTAACGTTCACGATCACAATACAAGATCTCAGAATGATTTGCATGTAGCAACCAAGAATAAAAAGAGCACTGAAAGGGCATTATTCCATAATGGCCTAATTAATTATAACAAACTACCAAATGATGTAAAAAGCAGCTCAACGCTTATTTAAATCGAAACTGAAAAAATTATTAATCGACAATGGCCAATAGCTTGATGTGTGGCTGTTGGAGATACATAGAAAGGAATCGTTGAGTGCTTTATGTCTGAATGTGTACATATACCCTATTTGTAGCTTGTGTTCAGTGTGACAATGTACTATGTACTATTATTGAAATCTATGTTTACTTTCTATAGCTGTGCCTAAAATAATCTTAATTTAATTTCTTATTTTTATTTTATTTTATCAAATTTTATTAGACATAACAATGTATGATGACATGTATTGTATTGTGTGCTTTATGTATACATACACTGTGCAATTTATAGTTGTATATGAATATTATATTATGTACTCTATGTTTTGTAAATTAGCCGTACATGCTAAATAAAGACCTAATAATAATGGTCACACATCCGGTTATAGCGAAAGTAGACGCCAAATTGCTTATTTTGAATGAGAAACCCCGTTTGTGATTGCATATTTGGATTCGACGTAAAATTCTGAGCAGATTTCATGTGATATACCCTGCTATACCTGTCACAACCTCTCTGTAACGGGGGGTGTAGGGTGGATAGGTGAACAATCTGTCAGAGTTTATATTCTAAGTAGACCCTGGTTTCATTAGTTGAAAACAGTAATTATCAGTCAGAAAACTAGTTCCAACCAATGAAATTGATCCTGCTTTGTGATTTCTGTGTGAACAGACCTATAGAATAATTTAGCTTTTGTGAAACTGGTAGACTTTTGTTGCACCATGGTGAAATAGAGGTGTTAAGTCAACGCCATAAAATCGTTTGTCAAAAAATTCGCGTGAAATATCATCGAAATTTCTTTGTTAAAGGGGTGCTAAAAGGGTATTGAGCATGTCCAATAAGAAAATTACCAATATAGTTCGTCTACGAGGCGGGACCAATCATGATCCCGATGGGCTGAGTCAGCGCCATCAAGATTTCGACACGGTAACGCCAAAATCTCCTATATATGAATGCAAAGGCGTAATGGATCAGTTCGACAACATTTTATCCGAATACAAAAAAGCTTTGGGACCTTGTGGACATGCTACATGCCCCTATTCTCAAAATCTCACGGAAAAAATCTGCAAGAAAATGTGTGATGATCGTTCTGATTTGGTAAATGAAGTCAGTTCACAGTCCTGTGATGAAGTACCCTGTAAAAATGAGGGCTGCATTTATGCTGAGGATGCTGCTCAGAAAAGGAAACAACATCCAGCCGCTTGTGGAAGTCCAAATTGTGCATACTCGAAATATAAATTGGGGATTCAAGATGATCAAGTTTTGTCAGAAATGAAATTTCTACCGCCTCGTATTACTGATACTTGTGGTCATCCTAAATGCACGTTTCCTGAAGAAGTTCCACTGCCACCAATTCACTGGGACTGTCCAGATCCACTTCCTAAAGGACCATGTAGAAATCTCAACTGCCCTTTTCAACCAAAACCTTTGAAGAAATTCAAAACCATAAAGCAACTGAAAACTGGACCTTGTGGAAGTCCAATGTGTCCTTATGCTTTTCCTCAACCTTGCAGCCATCCTAATTGTCCATTTTCCGCTAAGGAAACACAAGACAAAAATGGCAAGGAAAATAAATGCAAAAATCCAGATTGTCCTTTTGCTAAAGAAAATGCTAAGAAAGAGTTAACTGATTCAAACATAAAAGGAGAATTTCAGGATTGTGCCAATCCAGATTGTCCTTATAAGCAAACTAGTAAGCCAAAATCTAAAAAGTATTGCGGTAATCCGCAATGTCCAGACCCTGGAGAAACAAAACAAGATTCAGATAGCATTTGTTCTAACCCTGTATGTCCTTCCCGTGCAAAAGCTTCAAAGAAAAAACCCAAAAAGAAAAATAATGAAGAAATTATTTGTGCCAATCCACTTTGCCCTGTAAGAAGCATAGTGAGTAGTAGTAGTTCGTCATCATCAGACAGTGACAGCATATGTTCTGATCCCAAATGTCCTTATGCAGGCTTGAAAAAAGTCAAACCAATCAAGCTGTGTAAAAAAGCCAGTGAAACTATTGAGTCTCCTGAAGAAGAATGTGATTGCCTGGCTTCACCGCCTTCACCTGAAAAAACTGACCCTTGTAGTGATCCCAATTGTCCATATTTACCACCTTTACCATCGTGTGGTGTGCCTAATTGCCCTTACGAACCAATACCTCTAAGAATCAGTTGCGGAGATCCAAAATGCCCTTCAAAATCGGTAAATTATAGTAAAAAAATTGACCACACAAAATTTGAGCTAGAAGTCGTAAAATCAACTTCAGAAACTCATGAAGCACCAGTCATACAAACGACCACCGTATGTGAAGAAGAACAACCGTGCACTGACAATGTATGCGAAAATCCGGATTGTACTGACGCTGACATGGCCATGGAAGAAATTAAAGACAAGAAAACTGGCAAAAGGAAGAAAAAAGGCAAATTTGTATATTCGATTGGAGACAACTACCCAGGGCTAAAGAGAGGCCACGAACAATGCATCACCCCAGTTTTTAACGTGCCACCACACATGGGCTGGCTTTGGAACATTTTCACTCCAATTTTACGTCTCAGACCAAGACGCGGATGGAGACCTGGTGCCCTAACTAAAACCATAGCAGCTCGAATTCGGTCTCACAGACAAAGCAAAGGCCTCGCCAACTTGAGACCGCCTGTGTTTAGAGGCGACGGCACGCAATATGATGAGGGCGGCAGCCCAAAAGTTGTACCCAAACCCACGTTGCGAATCCAAAAGAAAGATGGAACATATTTTATTACAATGAATCCACTCAAAGATCCTTTCAGTCTGGTGGAAAATGAGGACCCCTACATGGAATGCACCCCGATGTCATTCAGAATAGCGAAAAATAAACAAGACGATGATTATTGTTATTGCGATGGCGACGATGCTTCGGCAACTTCATCGGATAGTGACCTGGATATTGAATTTACCCCGCCAGCAGGCGTGATTCATCCGGAAAGATTCAAAAAGATTCCGAATGTTGTTTGTGCAGAAGTTCAATATGACCCCAAAGATTGTGAAGTTGTTAAGACGGCGAGTAAAGATGGCAAAGGAAAAAAAGGAAAAGGTGGCAAAGGAGGTAAAGGTGGAAAGGGGGGTAAAGGTGGGAAAGGAGGCAAAGGTGGAAAAGGAGGTGATAAGGGCAAAGGCGGAAAGGGAGGCAAAGGTGGAAAAAAAGGGAAATAAGTGAAGAAATTTGCATTTTTTTTGGAATTTTTCGATTATATTTTGTTCATTTTCTTTCAACTCATAATATATGTTTTTATAATGGAGAAATATGTTTTAATTATTATAATAATTTGTGATGAGGATAGAGGGATACATCGTTACGTCCTCGGTAAAGGTGCATATCGGTACGGATCCAGCGAAATTGAAACCGTTATCTAACGTCATATTTGTTAAACGCAAATGTCAATGTTTCAAATGATCAGCACATTCATATATTTTCTATCATAGGCTCTTGAATTTTCTTTATGTCGACAAATACGAGAGCCGGAAATGGACAAAAATTGAACTAGAAAAATTGGGAAATAGAGTAATAGTATATTACATACGTCATACCGAGGTGGAAAGTGTTTCATTACTGTCGAGAGATTTTAGTTAGACCGAGGCACAGCCGAGGTCTAACTAAAATCTCGAGACAGTAATGAAACTTTTCACCGAGGTATGTATACTATTTTATTTACAATCATTCGAATTTTGAAATTTTTATTTGAATTAAAACTAAAAAATACAATAATTGACAGTTTTATTTACTTTCAGCCCACGGGTCGAAAGTCCGAAAGTAAAAGTCAAAAAAGTGACATTTTCGAACTTTTTAAAAGTCAGTAAAGTCAACATTACATGTATGATTGTAAATAAAGAAATTTTCTCTGAAATTTCAGAGGCATTGGGAAAAAATTGGTAGACTAACATCTTTTTTTCAGTAATAGAAAACTTCCTTTCATGTCTCAAATGTTTTAAACTTTTCTGAAAGGTCATAAATTTTTTTCTATTATAGATAGAAAGCAGAAATTTTCACTGCATTTTATCCCAATCAAGGGACTACAATCCCTGAAAAAATCATCTCATTTGCACTTATAGTTCCTGGGATAAAATCGTGTTACGCAATTTGGGGTGATTTATCAATTTTTCAATTTTTCTGAGTGCATTTTTCATAGATTTCGGCTTCAAATCTGAGAATAATTTAGTGTATGAAGTTTGGGGGATGTTGATTGACCATAGGAATACAAAATCTCGAAAAAAAAAATTTTGAAATTTCATCGTTTTAATAAGAAGGTTATGATTTAGATTTTGGAAAACTTTGAAAGGTACTAACTTTTTTTCTATTATAGATAGAAAGCTGAAACTTTCACTGAATCTTATCCCAATCAAGGGACTACAAACCCTGAAAATTTCAGCTCTTTTGCACTTATACTTCTTGAGATAAAATCGTGTTAAGCAATTTGGGGTGATTTATCAATTTTTCAATTTTTCTGAGTGCCTTTTTCATAGATTTCGGCTTCAAATCTGAGAATAATTTAGTGTATGGAGTTTGGGAGATGTTGATTGACCACGAGGATACAAAATCTCGACAAAAAAAATTTGAAATTTCATCGTTTTAGTATGATTTAGGGCCGAATTTATAGTCATTCCTTGAGTCTGCCTTAAAGGTCGTGAGTTTAGAATGGACACTTGGTACTATTTGACAAGTTAGTCATGTCAATTCTAAACGTTCAAGGCTTCCTTAAGGTCCAAGGAAACCTCAAGGAGCGACTATAAATTCGGCCCTTAGATTTTGGAAAACTTTGAAAGGTCATAACTTTTTTTCTATTATAGATAGAAAGCTGAAACTTTCACTGAATCTTATCCCAATCAAGGGATTATATGCTTTTCACTTATTGGCGTAGCATTATCCATGGAAATTTGGCAGGTTGACCCTCGTATAATAATGACAGTATATGTCAAATTCCAGACAGTTTTAAGTGTGGTTTACATAATTTCGTAAGTGCCGCGGTATTAAAATTTTCTGGCCTATCTGGCAAATCAAATTTGACACATTTTTCAATGCATTTTTCAATAATGCTATATTATAAACAGTACCTAACCATTTTGCGTACCTGCAAAATCTAATGACATTTTTGATTCGGCATTGTCAAATTTATTTCGTATTGAAGATGTCGAAAATAATCTCAGAAGAAAAAAAAAGGGAAATATTAAAATGTCATGGTTATAAAAAAAAAATAAACCAGAGGCTCTCCAGCGAACAATTGAAGCCCAACTTGCAGATAATATTTGAGGTAGGTATAACTTAAATGTAGATGTGGAGTCATTTCTCACCCAACCAACATTTTCCCTAAATTTTAGTTGGGAACCAGGACTATTCAAAGAATTTTGACTGGACAATATACAATCAAAAAACCTTTAGGCCGACCGAAAAAGACAGAGACTATTATGGACCGAATGTTTAAAGAAGATTTACAACGACAAATTTGGAAATACAATTCTAAAAATGAATATTTTACATTACAAACATTACTGACATACGCAAAAGAAAATTTGGAATTTAAGGGAGGGCAAACAAGTTTATATAAAATTTTAAAATCTATGGGATATAAATTTAAAGCAGTAAATGGACGCAAAATTTTATGTGAGCAGAAACATGTTCTTGTTGCCAAAATTACATTTTTGCGGAAATACCTCCAATATAAACATTCAAACGAAAATATCAGATTCGTGTATTTAGATGAAACTTGGATCTACCAAAATAGATCTCAAGTTCGTCGATGGATACACGAATCTGATATGAAAAGCAACCCATCCAAAATTAAGTCAGAGGGGGCACGTTTTACTATTTTGCATGCGGGGAGTAAGTAGTTCTGGGTTTTTAGATGGGTGCGATTTTTTTATAGATTCAAGAAACAATGACAGAGACTACCACAATACCATGAACGCGGACATCTTCCAAAAATGGGTCGTTGATCAACTAATTCCTGCATTGAATATATTTGAGGAGAAATGTGTGATAATCATGGACAACGTTCCATATCATTCAGAGTGGAAGAATAAACCACCTTCATTCTCTTCAAAGGAAGACAGAATGCAGGAATGGTTGGTTAAACATAACGTAGACTTCGACACAAAAATGACCAATAAACAACTATGGGACCTAACTCAACCATTTCGGAATAGACCAAAACAATACAAAATTGACGACATTTTGAAAAGCCACGTACACGAAGTTCTTAGATTTCCTCCTTATCATTGCCAATATAATCCTATTGAAATGGCATGAGGGTTAAGTATATTAACACTTTCTCAAAAAATGGCCTTATGTAAAGATTGTCGAGATCTTACCCACCCTCCCATGCCTTACAACCCTTTCAAAAAAGATAAGGCTTTGTTTCAATCGATCCTGCAAGGGAAGATATTTGGAAAGAGAGGACCAGGAAGAAGAAGAATATCCTGACGGAAAAATCTCAGGAACCAAACCCGAAAAAAAAGTTACTGCTAAAACATATTTATGCTATTGAGCTTACTGTTATGGTTGGGTCAATAAATTGAATAATTTTATTATTTGAATTTACTCAGATATTTCACACATTCTGGCAACTCGGCTTTCTGTTTCATAACCCTGAAATTTGAAAAGTATTTTGTCATCAAATGTCATTATTATACGAGGGTCAACCTGTCAAATTTCCATGGATAATGCTACGCCAACAATAAGTGAAAAGCATATACAAACCCTGAAAATTTCAGCTCATTTGCACTTATACTTCTTGAGATAAAATCGTGTTAAGGAATTTGGGGTGATTTATCAATTTTTCTGAGTGGCTTTTTTCATAGATTTCGGCTTCAAATCAGAATAATTTAGTGTATGGAGTTTGGGAGATGTTGATTGACCACAAGGATACAAAATCTCGACAAAAAAAATTTGAAATTTCATCGTTTTACTCGTTTTAGTAAGAAGGTACCTACCTTATGATTTAGATTTTGGAAAACTTTGAAAGGTCATAACTTTTTTTCTATTATAGATAGAAAGCTGAAACTTTCACTGAATCTTATCCCAATCAAGGGGCTACAAACCCTGAAAAGTTCAGCTCATTTGCACTTATATAGTTCCTGAGATAAAATCGTGTTAAGCAATTTGGGATGATTTATCAATTTTTCAATTTTTCTGAGCAGGGCCGCAGCTAGAACCCTCGGCGCCCAAGGCAAGTCCAAATTTTGGCGCCCTTTTACCATATTGATTAACTTTTGGTCTATCGGTCTATCACAATTCACCAGGCAAAATGAAACACAACAACAAAGGCTCATATTGTGAACCGATTCCGAACCAGTTTAGAACTAATTGAGGACTGTCGTAGAGCGCATGCCCAGCTCTGGAATTGGATTGGTATAGAATTATTTTATCGCGAACAGTTTTGGAACGAGTTCTTCAGACTGTCTAATATGTAAACGAACGTTATGTGTCAATCCTAAAGTTCTTGCTAAAATCCTAGGACCGCTAGAACAGGGCTGGGATCACGACAAGTAGAATTCCACTTTCATGACGTCACCCAGGACCTATTTATCGCGTACAGTATAGGCGATGATGCTGGTTGCTAGGCAACCTGACGTCATCGAAGTAGAATTGTAGTAGAATTCTACTTGTCGTCATCCCAGGCCTGGTTCAGAAACGGTTCCGAACCGATTCTGGTTGATCCGCAAATCCAGAAACGTAACTAAAAGTTCGGAATTTTGTGATCCACGAATGCCATTAATTACTTGAACTGCGCGAACGAAACTATTGTAAAAGTGAAAGCTGTTTACGGAAACTATGATTGGGTTAACCAGCAACTTATTTTTAACCTATTTTGTCTTTTCTCAATCGTATTCGTTGAGGAAAGATAGAAAACATTCAGCTGCTGATCGGTGATCGGTTCAACCCGATTATAGTTTCGCGTAAAACCGTTGCATTTTTTTGGATTGTAAAATATGGATGGATTAAATAAGGCGCCTTCGGCGCCCCGATACTCCGGCGCCCTAGGCGGGCGCCTAGTTCGCCACCTTCGAGTTGCGGCCCTGTTTCTGAGTGCCTTTTTTCATAGATTTCGGCTTCAAATCTGAGAAAAATTTAGTGTATGGAGTTTGGGGGATGTTGATTGACCACAAGGAAACAAAATCTCGACAAAAAAAGATTTGAAATTTCATCGTTTTAGTAAGAATCTACCTTATGATTTAGATTTTGGAAAACTTTGAAAGGTCCTAACTTTTTTTCTATTATAGATAGAAAGCTGAAACTTTCACTGAATTTTAATCCAATCAAAGGACTACAATCCCTGAAAATTTCAGTTCATTTGCACTTACAGTTTCTGAGATAAAATCGTGTTAAGCAATTTGGAGTGATTTATCAATTTTGCAATTTTTCTGAGTGCCTTTTTTCATAGAATCTGGCTCCAAATCTCAGAATAATTTAGTGTATGGAGTTCGAGGGATCCAAAAGGACCATTAGTCCCAGTCTTAACAAAAAAACAATTATTGAAATTTCATCGTTTTAGTAACAAGAACCTTATTATGATTTAGATTTTGAAAAACTGAAAAGTCATAACTTTTTT